GAGGTTTGCTGTTCTGCCTTGAAACCGCAGTGGAGCAAATGACAAATACATGTAAACAGTTGTGCCTAAGAAGCCAACATAGTTTTTCCACTTTCTTCACACTGACGAGTTTATTTTAGAGGTATGGAATGAGGTCAAAGAAAATTTGAGTTTTTGGCAGAATGGCTTGCTGCTTCAGAAAATTCTCCTGTAGACAACCGATCTTTGAGTAGGAAAAGATTTTGATTCGGGTGCTTTGAAGTCAACGTTGCCGGATTGGTTGAAATGGACTATACGTTTTTGGCATAAAATTAGAGGACACTGCACGGTTTCCCGGGTATGCTGCACACCACCAAAGTGAGCCAACATATCCAACCAAGCAGCATCTATAGCTGAAAACTAAGCTTAATTAGTGTGAAAGTTCTCAGTCATCCAGGTCATCATCTGGACCGCTAAGTTATCAGCTACTCCAAACAAACTGCTTTCATGGACTGTGCTGGTTCATCAAACGCACACACCCACACACAAATAATTACTACAAAGTAGGAACGCACAACATGTTTTACAGATCAAAACTGAAGCACAAACTTCTTTTTTTTAATGCAGTTATCTGACAAAAGATGTACTAGCTGTACAGTTAGTCTAAGAAATGTGTATTACAGTTTTGATAAGTAAAGGTTTAGTTACTTGTGTTTCTCAGGAATAATTAGCATGTCTTTGGTGTAATAAGTGCTTGCCAACCGAGCTTGTTAGTGTTAGCAGATCCTTTTAGACCTCCACCCTTGTGTCCAAATATGCTCACTTCTGGCTCTAAAAGTAGCAGGTGGTGGTAGTGGCCAAAATGCTAACATTTAGGCAAACCAAGCAATGATGTCATGATGGCAAAGTCCATCTTTTATTCACAGTCTACAGTTCCACAGAGTAACCTCCACAGATGATTCACCGGGTGAATTGCAGCTTTTTGGGAGGCTCCTGATGTCGTCGATTATGTAAGGTCACAATTCATGCTGTTGGAACTTTGGCATGCTGGAACTTATCACAGATTATAATTCATTTAAAAACACTTTTCTTTTCTTGTTAGAGAGCAGCTCCCTCGTGATAAATGTGTATGTTTTTGACATTACAAGGCAACAAAAAGCTCCTAAACGCTCTGTCAGATTTGGCTCTTTATGTGTGTGAACTTTAAAGGAAGCCTCTTCCAGCCCCACCTGTGACCTCTGACTCTGTTGTGGATGGGGTTTCCCCACAAAAAAGCTTTTATGAAGCAGCTCGGTGCTCTTATGAACTCTTATGTAAATGCACTCGCTCTGCTCGTAGAGTTCTTGGCAGTGCCAGTCTGGTTTGGTTAGGCTGGCTTTCCCCACAGGGCATAATGATAGGCTGCAAACCACACCGACACCCTGACCAGACCACTACAGGCTCTGTGTGTGTGTGTGTGTGTGTGTGTGTGTGTGTGTGTGTTCGATCTCCAGAGTGTATACTTAGTACAGAGTCTGGAACACTCCACCGGCGGCCATAATCTGTCTGAATCAGGAGTCGTGGACTTGAGTGAACACACACACACTCACTTTCTGGCGCCCTGGTCATCAATGCTTGGCACCAGCAGCACACAGAGGGCACTTAAACACACAGCAGACACTTCACGCCTCGTGCGTGTGTGTGTGTGTCATGTCCTAGTTAAACGCCACGTGCTGACCTTTTCCATGCCATGCTGCCACTTTGGAAAAATTAGGAATTCCATAGTCCCCCTACTTCTCCTGTGTGCATGTGTGTGTTTCTGTCTCAGAGTTTGTGGGAAGTAGGAGAAAGGGGATTCCACACAAACCCAGCGCCATAAGAGCACTTTTGTTCAACATTTATGCCTTTACTTACACACACACACACACACACACACACACACACACACACACA